GAAAATGCTGTCAAGGTGGGGTTACCTTTTCATCTGGAATATTTATATTTAAATACAAGTAATAATGTATCATCCCAAATGCGGGGGTTGACAGTCTTCGATCTCCATATTTTATTGTCCTTTGTAGCACGTTGCACTTCATCTGTCCTTGCGAACCAAACAACTTCAGTGTTGTGCAGACACCGATTTATTTGTCTCCATTTTTATATTTTTCCCACATGTTTTCAGCAATGCTCGAGTTCGCCAAATCCAATGGCCTTGCTTCCTAACAGAGAAAAGTCTCTCGGTTGTGAAGAGTGGCCATACACGAAACGTCACCTATTACATATACATGTTCCTCTTTACAGCAGCGTTATTGACGAATGTTTTGAGTTTTTTTTAAATCATTTGTGCTTGTGCACCATTGCCAACGCTGTATTTTTTGAATTGCCAAAAGAATGGCATCCAATTATTGTGCTCTCAAGTATTGTACAACGATCAGAGAGCACAACATCAATGGGACTCTTAATTTTTACATCGCACAATATATGCACGACGACACAGTATTTTTAGTTGTAATTTCCCCCCCAGTTTTTTATCCCGATTGTTCTATTACAACTCTTCACGTGAGAAAACGGTCCATGGAAGCAGATATCACAGAGCTACCTCTGAGATCCCTTCAAGTGACTTCCGTCGTGACGCTGTGCTTTAAAATAAATGCACACCAGTCACGCACAGTCACAATCCAAATGTTCACCGGTGCTTGCGGTCTCACATTTCCGACACCATGACAACGCTGCTCTACAATGCTTTGCGCACTGCTGCGCATGCAGGGGGTTGGCAAGTACAGGCAGCAGGGACGCAACTACGTCGTCGAGGATGGAGACATCATCTTCTTCAAGTTCAACACGCCGTCGCAGCCCAAGAAGAAGTAAAGCGAAGAGGTTCCGCGTGCAGGCCCCGGCGCTCGTGCTCACGAAAGCCCCTGCTTGATCGCTCCAGCTCGCCCGTGCTCACATCCGGCCCTCCGTGACACAAACTTCATGGATTTCAAACTTCACGGACTCAAAATGTGCATGCAATGCATTTGTTTTTCGACGCTCGGCAGCGTTTTTAAAGGAAATTGCGTGGAACGAGTGTACGCGTTTTCTTTGTTTGCGTCGTTTACATCGTTGCCAAATTAGTGGCCGATACACTAGTCACAGGTTTTATTTTGTGAGGGTATATAATTGGTGGCATATCTTGTCGGCTTGGCTTAAAGGGGCACTTGCCTGTGTTTCTCAGTCCGGCATTGGTACAGCCATGATAAATAATGAGCGTTTAATTACTAAACCTGACGGTCTAGAAAGCATTTCTTAACACATCTAACAGTCACCCTGGCCATCCTCCCATTTGGCTGCAGTTACCACTGCTGTTATGGGATTTTATTTTTCTTGAAAAAGGGAACTCCAAATGCTATCTCTCGGGGTACACCGAGCAGCACACAGTGGCTGTAACAATCCGTTGAGTAGCTGAAATGACCCGAGTGGCTCGGAGATTGGGCATCCTTGCATGTGTTGTGAAGATTTGGGGTGTTTGACGAGGCTTGCTGCGAATTTGGGTCAAGATCCGATCGAGGGGGGACCTCAACTTAAAAGATCAGCCCATCTTTTACGCTGGTATATTCACGTGAGTTTCATGCACCTACATCTCACTCACATTTAACAAAAATGACATAGATAAATATTGTGTGGCATGTCAAAAAATGATATCGGAAAACGTTTGAAATATATACCACGAGAGCTGCAATAAAAAAAAGACGATGCTTTCAGAGAATCTGCAGACTGGAATGGTGCCAACAGGCCAAGCAGCGTACATACAATTTGACGAAAATTCTGTAAAGCTGTGCTTTCTTGGGGCCCTCATCTTGAGGGGGGTACATTGAGACAGGGATGACCGCGTCCGGAAATAAAACAGCGATGGAAGTGCGTGCTGTCTTGTCCTCATTACATTACTTTGACCTCGATCGTAAAGTGGAGCTGCCACTTGACATGGAACGATTCAATGACCCTCCCACCCCAGTTGTTATGGTTCGTGGTTGCAAATCAGATTCGGCTATTTATTATTTTGTTATCGCCTTTTTACCATTTCATTGGTATTTTTAAATTTGATTATTTCAGTAGTCTCCTTCCCTCAGCCTAATTATAACATTGCCCTATCATCGTCATTGTAATTAGCAGAAATTGTATATAATTATCAAGATCTGGATAACATGCACATAGCATACGTGTAAGAATGGATTTTAATCGATGAACCATTGCTTCATGACATGCATAGTTGCCACTAGATAACCTCCATAAAGATAATGTGGGAACGTAGGGAATATCCCCCGGTTTATTTCACTTGGGCATAAAAAGGTACAGAAGGCGTTCTTGATTTGGATCTCAAAAGCCCATTTGTCAAGCCACGTAAGAGCATTCATCACTGTTAAAGCTGCCTTTGTGAAACTAATCTCTTAAATGTTTAATACCGCACGACTTAAGCGTGCAGTCAAGGCACAGCTCTGACGATTAAGCCCGCTCTCTGGAGCAGCGATAAAAGGAGAATATGAACTCTTGAATGCACTGCTTCTCATGCCTCAAGTGGAGCCAGTTTTAATCAACCTCTGCATCTTCAGTGAATGTGCCTAGAGTTTTAATGCGCTGCTAAACACGATATTGAGCCGTCCGCATAGACACCACCACCATGTTCATTGCGGCGTACTTAATGTGGTTTTTATTTTATATAAATAGCGACCGGCCAATATTAAAACCCCCGTCGACAAATGCTTGCGGGCTCATTCTATTTGACCATGAAGTCTGTCTTGACTGCCGGGAGCTTAGTGTCACGGTTTTTAACTGGACAAGCCAATATGAAAGATCTCTTTGGGTAACCTCTGCTAACCGTAATGAAATTGATGACAAACCAGAAGTGGCTGCACAATTAACTAAATCATTCACTCCGTCCACTAATACTGACGAATCTCGTCAGATCTTCCGAAGCTAAGCATTGCTTAGCCTGGTTTAGTGCTTGGCCGTGTGAGACCGCTTTAAATCCCTTTAATTTACTCCAAAGTATTGGGGATAAAGGAGTCTGATCTCGGCAGGTGTGTGTGTGTGAGACCATGGAGAAGGGATACTTGGGTGCTTGTGTGAGATTTCGCTCTTTACCAGCTTCAAGGCTGGGACAATCCATCATCAGGTTCACAATGTTTCGGGCCATAGCTCCTGAAGAGCAATAATCAAGGACGTGCACTTCGCCAATTGGACTCGCTGGACCAGAACGGAGCATACATATGGATATGCAATTTAGTGTGCGTTTGTGCAACAACGGGCTCCCTCTTTCTGGCTATGTTTCCATTGGAATGATACGAGTGAATGTGATGTTCTGCACATCTGCAATGTTTTGCATTACACTTTGCAGAAACGTTCGCTTGCGCTAGATAGCGAATCGACATTTACGAATTGGGGTAAAGTGTATTTTGGAGAGTTGCGCAACAAAAAATGTATATGAATGACACACGTTTGCATTGAACTTTATTGTCACTTGTTATACAGAGAACTAGTGATGTTTGACCGCTTGAGGTTTTGGAACCTTTGTTCAGCAACCATAATTTAAAATACAGGATTAAACATTAGCAATATATGGAAGCAATTACACTGAATCGGTCAAACTGAGATTCAGTGATCAAGTGCAAACAAAACACAAATGTTATTGATTTGAAAAATAAAAAAAATAATTTAGATTGTACAAGCTTATAAAATAATTCGGCTGACCTATTACTTCATGCCCGGAGTTGGTTAATTTGTATGCATCGTACTGTAAATGGACGTTTGTTTAAAAAAACAAAAAAGTGCGGTTGTATTGTATTTAATATTTATCCGTCAGGGAGTGTGGCAACCTTGAGCATTTCAAGCACGAAGTTATGGTTAATTTAATGTGGTGTTTCTAGTTCCCCCATAGCGTGAACAAGCAATAGGGGGATATTGTATTATATGTTGTATTGGTTCAGGCGCTGAAGGGCATTTGCGGGTCAAGGGCACAACTCGTCATCATCGGCCACGAGCAATCCGCTGCCGTAAGGAAGCCGTCACCAAGTCGCCCTCACTCCTCCATCGTGATACAACGATCCACCCTACACGAAGATTCTCGGTTAAAAAAAAAGAAAAATAGAATCTAAATCTTGGAACGATGGAAATCTCGATTACACTCCGATATGCGTCGCTCGTGTAAGGCGCCACTTTAACATTGAGCGACGCCTCTCCCTGTCAGTCATCGCTAGTGTCACGTGACCCCTCATTCGGAAATTCCCTCGCGCCCCCCCCTCCTCAGCATTCCCGCCCTTTTAGCCCCCCCCCGCGCTCCTCAAGGTCACGTGGTATCCAGCCCGTGCCTCCTTCACCCCTCCCCCCCGGTCACGTGGTCGGAACCACGCCCGGTTAAGATCGCGCTCCTCCACCCACCCACGCGGGCTTCCGGCGGCGACGTCACATCTCCAGAACCGGATGTCCGGCCATAGATCACGTGAGACTCTAGGCTAATCCTCGTCCGCTAGGCCCGTGTGTAACGCGCGCTTCGGGAGTCCTCCGCGGTCACGTGCTCTTCTAGGCCAAGCCTCCGTCGCCTAGACCTGATCGCGCGGGTTTGTTCGGCTTACGCCTCGCGCGCAGACCTCACGCGGTAAGCCGGGCCGGCGTGGAAGGTTAGTCCACCCCCACAACCGAGCTCTACGGGCGAGCGTTACCGGACTCGACCAGCTCCGCCCCGCGCGCGCGCGATCACGTGGCTGCTGACACTGTAGGGGCTACGGCCTTCGTCGCGGGCGCGCATCTCTACAGAGTACAGTATTAGAGCCCCCCCCCATACCACCGCCCCCTCCCCAGCCCCGCCCTCTGGTGGTCACGTGGTGCCCTGGCCGAAGCCTTGGTCACTAGGCCCGTGGTTCCTCTCCAAGTTCCCCCCCCTCTCTCTCTCGGTCACGTGACGAGACCAGTCACGGCGTCACGTGGTGCAGGCTCAAATTCAAATCTGGCCCCCCGCCCCCCCTGGTCACGTGGTTGTAACGACTTTTCGCCCGCCTCCAACCTTTGCGATTCGATAGGTGCTCAAAGTGTACAGATTAGATTTTTAAAAATCGTACAAATTACGGAGGGGGGGATGGTGTTGCAGGCCACTACGTGAACCGATGCAAATACACATGAATCATACGCGCTTTATATGTAACGCAAATCGATCCATCGGTAATGCTGAGTCAATATACACACACACTTTGGTTCTTTCGGTAGTCACGTAGGTATAAAATTATATATATACACAATTCAGCTCTCACCCACGTAGCGTGTCACCCTGCTACCGTATACTTCGGATAAGTTGCTCCAAAAAGCAGGATTCCGCATTGGGGTGTATTGAAGTTACAGTATACAAATCTGTTGACGTACAATGGGATTTTTTGCACACTGCGTTGGTGTACGGTGCTTTTTTTAGGAATATTTTTTGCTGTTTTTTTTTCCATTGATTTTCTGTTTGCACGGTCACATAGTCACTTTAAGATGTTTTTCTTGTTCGTGTTTTTTTTTGTTGTGGTTGCACCCGATTCAAGAGCCGAATGGCTCACTGGGCTATACCAAAATAAACTGAAACTGAACAACCGGATAATTAAAATTCAAGATTCGTCACTAACACTGCCTAAAAAAACACGTGCGACGTTTGGGACAACGGGCTTTCACGGCAAATAGGTACTGTATTCTAAATTATTATAAACTTTAAAACAAAGTGTGGGGGGGGGAGAAGGGCATGTGCGCTTTGTGCACGGAGAATACGGTCACCCCTCCCCTCCTCGCGGATCACGTGGTGCCGTCAGCGGCGTTCCAGCCGAAGCCTGCGCAGCCAGGCCGCGCCCTCCCCCCTCTCGCGAGCTTCCCGCCCAAATCCCCCCCCCCCCCCGCCGCACCCCCCGCGCGGTCACGTGGTGCACCAGGCGAGGCCCGCGTCGCTAGGCCCGGGCGCGGGCGGTATGAGCGGTAGGCGAACCCCCCTCCTTTCCCCTCCCTTGGACCGGGGAGACGCGGCGAGCTTCGTGGCGAGCTTCGCGGCGCGCGCGCGCGCACTCCTCACCCGCTTATAAACACCGCCACCACCATCAAGCAACCACCACGCACGCACGCGCCTAACAACGCACGCCCAATAAAACACCGATCGTCGCGCCGGGTTGAGGTAAACGTTTAGTTTTTTTTTATAATACACGCGTATAAAGCCGAGAGGTGCATTTTAGAGGTGGTGGTGGCTGGCTGGGTGGGTGGGGGAGAGATGATATAATATCGGCGGCGAAAGAGAGAGTGAGAGAGACAGTGGCGTAGAGCGCGCGCGGCGCGCCAAAATAACAACGGCGAAGGCGGAGGTGGCGCGAATTTAATAAATAAAGGAGTCTGAGGCGAAGGCCATTTTCCCCCGCAGGCAACGCGACGCGGCCGCGTTGTTGCCCTTCCTCGTCGCGCTTTCGCCCCACGAATTCGGGCCGTCGGCGCGGGCTTTCGGCTTGGTCGCGTCGTCGGTAACGTGTCGTGATCGCGGCGTCGTCGGCGTTTTGTCCTGTCGCGTAGAGCCGGAAAAAAGCGAGCAAACCACGACGACGACTACTACTACTACACCCAGCGCTGCGAGTGCCACGGCCGACGGAAAGACGCCGCAGTCGAACCCCACAGCGAATAGCCAGGTGAGCGAAACCGCGATCCGTTCGCGCGAGGTAAACTGCAACAACCGAGGGGTAAATCTAGTGACGGCGGGTGATGTCGGTGCGGCGGCGGTGACTGCGGCAGAGTAAAGCGGAGGGCGCGGGGCTGAGGGAAATCCTCTCCCGCCGATGGCCGTCCCGGCTCTCGGGCCCGGCCCCTCAGCACTCCTCCCTCGCCGCCGTCTCTCCTCCCTCTCGGCCTCTCCTCCCTCCCGCTCGCCCGCCCACCCACTCACCCGTCCCGTGTGTCTCTCCTCCCTCTCTCCTCTCTCTCCTCTCTCATCCATGCCTGCCCTGAACACCGCCCCCCTCGGCCGCACCGCCCCCCCCTCGCACCGCCCCCCTATTCCCGAAAAACCGCCCCCCACGACCTCGCGTGGCCCTGCGATGATCCATGCCCCTGCGATGATCCATGCCCCGCCGTCTCAGAACCCATGTGGGCCTGCGCCTTTTCCCTCTCAATCTTCCTCCTCCGTCGTCTTCTCCCCCCCCCCCTCCTGGCAGGCCCAGGACGCGCAGGCGTCGCCTCTGGCACTCCTCGCGGCCACGTGCAGCAGGATCGAAACGCCCCCGAGTGAGGCGCAAGCGGCCCAGGCGCAGGGGCAGCAGGTGCAGGTGCAGCCGGGAGCTCTGAGGATTGTGGCCGGCCCAGGCCAAACGCTTCTGCACGCGCTGGAGCTCACTCAGCTCGCCGCGACGCCCAATGGGTGGCAGATCATTGCCTCCCCGACCTCGGCCGGGACGGCTCCTGCGTCGTCGTCGTCGGCGGTGGCGGCCAGCGGCAGCACCACTGACGTGCAGGCCTCGTCCGGCGTGGTGCAGGTAGCGTCGGGCCAGAGCGGCACCGAATCGATGCTCAAAATCGGCCCGAGCGGGCAGCTGGTGGCGGTGGCGCAGCAGCAGTCCCAGCAGCAGGCGCAACAGCAGCCACAGTTCGTGCAGTATCAGGTCCTGCCACAGCTGCAGACAATAGATGGCCAGCAGATTCAGATAATGCAGCAAGATAGTCAGATACAGCTCGTGCCGGTGAGCCAGACACAGACCCAATCGACCCAAGGCGGCTCTGGTCAGCAGCCTGTGCAAATCAGGCCAGCTGGAACGAGCTCCGCGGGTGGTACGGCCACCACGGCCACCTTTCCCGTGCAGATCCAGGGCCAGATTGGCCATGGCTCGCAGCAGATGCAGCTCATAAACTTACCGGTCGGCGGTAGCAACAACCTGACTTTCACGTTGCCGCTGTCACTGGGCGGAGGCCCTGCGCAGAACGTGACAGTCGTCACTGGGGCCGCTTCGGAGCAACAGGCAGGTGGCGATGCTGGCGTCAGCAGCAGCGCCGCTACCTCGGCGGAGGGTGGCAGCTCGTCGGCCATCTACACCACGGCTTCGGGCACCTCGCCGCACGTCACCATCTCGTCCATTGACTGCGTGACGCCCATTTCGACCGCCTCGCAGGGCCAGCAGCAGGTGCAGTTGCAGAACCAGTATCACCTGCAGCAGCCCTTCCAGCAGCAGCAGGTGCAGATGGTGAGCGGGCTGAGTCCACAGATGCTTCAGGCCGCGCTGCAGGCCGCCTCGCTGTCTGCGCAGTCGCAAGATCAGGGCCAGCAGCCGTCCACCTTCCTGATCCGCACCCCCACCATTTTGCCATCGGGGCAGATCGGCTGGCAAACCATCCAAGTGCAGAATATACAGGTGAGCTGAAGCAAGCTGCTATTATTATTATTATGGTGCAGCGCTGGCTGAATGATAGGGGCGTTGGTGAGGGAATATGCACACAACGTATGTAACCACTTCCTTGGTTTGTCCTGTTATCATTTTTATGTTGAAGTAGGCACATTCTTCGACAAATGCTTCATACCTTTATGCTTCCTGATGCAAATCAGTTGGCACACCAACTCATGCCACGCAAGCAGTAGTCACTTAAGTTTCCAGTTTTCTCTTTTTTTATTGAATAAGTGTTTATTCAAGTTAAAAAGGCTTGGAAAGCAATTGGATGGATAAGATATCCATTACAAAAATATTCCATGAGACCAGGCACATTTACACAGTTTTTATTTATAATTACTCTTTGGTTCTTTCGATAAAGTCACGTAGAAGGGGAAATAATTAAATAATAGAGTACGGCGTTTCGATTGCAACACAAGCAATCGTCATCAGGTAGAACTAAATTGAGAGAGAGAGAAAACACAGACACGGAGACACAGACAGACACAAGCAGAGAGAGACAACACAGACTCAAATTTAGTTCTACCTGATGACGATTGCCTGTGTTGCAATCGAAACGTCGTATTATATTTAATTTATTTTCTTTCTACGTGACTTTACCGAAAGAACCAAAGAGTAATTCCTGCAGTCACGAAAGCTTAAAATCAAATTTATAATCAATTGAACAAAATTTTTGAATAATTGGAGTAACTTCTCCTTAAGAACCCAGATGGTGTCAGTTGTTTACAGCACCAATTTAAAAGTGTGATTAAGGGAGTTTCTGTGTCTGTTAGCCTACAAGTACACTGGGATATTTAACTACAGGAAAGCGTATCCGGTAGCACATTGTGTTCTTATAGTAAGCAGTTTGGTGCGCTCACTGCCTGGTAAACATCACCACAGCGAATGCTTCAAAAATGTTTTACCAACAAGCATTGCTCACCTTAGCAGGATTCACCCAACCCTGACACCCCCTAACCCTTCATCCACCCAGCATACCATCGCACGGGGTGGTTGACCGTTATCGCCATGGTAACCTGCACACCATTGGCCGGGAGGCACAGCTGGGCCCTCAGGTGTTGGGGTTGGTGAGGATTTGAAGAGCGGGTGGCCAATGAGGGTGCGAGGGTCTGGTGGCACAGCTGCACCCCGAACTGCATGCTTACTCCAGAACTAGGCTTGGGCAGGAAGGACGGGAAGGCGCTTTGAAGTTGAGAGTTGCAGCCCCCCACTCGCCCCCAATGCTGCTTGACCTAAGTTAGAAAACAAGCATATGACCCCAAAGTGACCTCTACACCCCCAGGGCCACATGCAGGAAATGAGCAGTACTTGTTGAAACGCTTGGGGACAGTGGGGGGGGGGAGAGTCGCACTGCAAAGATGTGCAAAGTTACTGCATATTTTTTTTTCACTTAAGGTTTTTTTGGCAAATGTTTAAAATGACAAAATGTCGGCTTGGAGGGAATTATTATAAAGTGTTTCCATCGCTTCCTCATAGTTTAACTTAATACATCTAAATGAGTATTTTCTTCCCAAACACAATTTTGTGCTTTTATGGAAATGTGTACACATCATTATTTGGGCAGATAATTGCGAGTTCTTGGGGGAAAAAAAATACTTCCAACTCTTAGTTTAGCAAGCAATCACAGGGCTTTCTTGCTCCCATTTTTTTCACTATCAGCAAACTTTTTATGAGAGCAGCACTACCTTGGTATGTGACCTTTGCAAGTGTTTTTTCCCACGTCTTTAGTCAGTGGTCGTTCTTATCAAGCACAAACATGCCAAGGCAAATCGTCTTCTTGTGCTTAAGCATAACAGGGATGACCTATGCATGCAGTGACTGGTGTTCATTGCCGATGACTGATAATAAAAGATTTGTGCAACTGCATTGTGTAAGACCAAACCGAGGCTTTCAGTTTGAACTTGTGAAATGGATCCAGTTTAATCGTGCAGCTTAGGGCCATTGCCTTAATTGATGGGTCTGTTTTAGAAGGTCATGTGACATGAGATGTTGATGTTCCTTCTCTGATACTGCTTGGCTAATGAAGCATACTTTAATGTGCTACACTTTTTAAATGAAGTTTGTCGAGCCTAAATTACTAGGAAAAAAAGTTTCCACTCAATTTGGAAGTGCAGCATTAGTGAAAATGTAATGTATTCATAAATGTGTGCATGTTCCCTTAAATTTTAGATTTTAAGGCAAACTTTTGCACAAGACCACATTGTAAACCTGTGTGTGTGGACTTTGGCTCATCCCTTTATACACACAAGTATACTGTTATTCTCATCCAAGGTTATTTTGAGACTTTTTCAGAAGGATTCACAGGAATAAATTAAATAGGTCATTGCTTCGAATCCACCACGAGTAATGAAATGCATTATCCAGCTTTCCCATTCATGGTTCTGTTTGCCCATCCTTTGTTCCAAATAAATTATCATTGCCCAATACAAGAAATGTGACAGTTCATCAATTATCATCAATGATTGGGGCTCATGAGAATGCATTAAGTCATATTCATAATTTATTATGCCCAATTCATACACGTTTTCACACTAATATATGGCTGTATATGTTAATACAATAATATACTATACACATACCACAATAGAAAAAAACATGTATTTGTAACCACAGTTGAATACCTCAAGTTGTGAGAGTTAATTTAACTTTTTACCCTACTACGTGTAGCCCAATATATCTTGTTCTGTTAAAAGGCGGTGTCAATGAAGATGGTGTTGTGGATTTTCTATTTGTGACTCCATAGACCCGGTCATTAGTAGTAGCTGCTTTGTGAGTAAGCAGCAATTCCATTGTCTGGCATGTGCGTGCATTTACGTCTTGTCCCACAGGGCCTCCCCATTAGTGGTGGTGGTGGGCAGGCCATTGCACTGGCGCCCGTTCAGGCCACAGCCCAGACTGGCGCCGGTACAGCTCCGCAGCAGAAGTTTGTGCAGACGGTGGTGCCTATCGGTGGGGCCACCACCACCACGGGCACGTCACAAGCATTGGTAAACTCGCTGGGCACTGTCGGGATCCAACTGCAGGGGACGCAAGTGTCTACTGCTACAGGTATGCAAAGTGGACCGTCATATCACATGTGGGTGTTTTAATTGCATAGAACTCTAGGAAATTCTGTGCATATGGTCAATGCAGTGCAGGAATTTATGGTGTTAACATTGTAAAATACAGTTTGATGTAAGCGTGTGCATGGAACAGTATTGTTCACACAGCACCATGATCCCGGTTATCTGTTTATGGCCGTGATGCACCCGCACCATTGGCTTTTGGTATCTGAACTTAGCCTGCAACTACTATAGGTTGGACTTGGCCTTAAACAAGTTTCTGGTGCAGTGTCAAAATCAGCACTGGAGTGACAAAGGTGGCAAGGCACTGCTGACCAACCCTCACCCGTTATGTAAATTGTCATTGACTATACATAAAACATGTTTTAAGGGCTCATGTGCCATTGATGTCCACACACTTTTTTTTTATTCACAACAGCAGCCCACAGTTTTGGCAATGGTAATTTTTGCCGACTTTCCCAAAAATGCCTGCATGAACAAGCGCGTGAAATTTGGTCTACGCCACGCAGGCCAGACGCTGACGGCACAGGACAGCGGCTATCCCAAGTGGCAGTTGAGCTCGCAGCCTGTGACCATATCCGGCGGACAAGGCGGGACCAGCATTTTTGCGCTGGACGCCTCCCAGCTGGGGCAGCTGGCACTGGCAGACGAGAGCGGTGGAGGTGGCGTCAGCGGAGATGCGGTTGAGGGAGAGGGCAAGCGGCTGCGGCGGGTGCCTTGCATGTGCCCAAACTGCAGGGACAGCGAGGGCAAGTGAGTTTGGGGGTGGGGAGTTGGAGGGCGTGGTTGCTTAAAAACTACGGCTCGCATTTCCATCACACCATTCGTTAACAAAATGCAGTTTTCTATCTCATTCTTGCTTGCTTTAGCTGCTGATAGCGATACTGACAGTAGTTCCTTGTTCCTGCCTCTTGAGAATGGCGCTGTCTCTGTTGCTTTGTTCCAGGACAAAACATTCTTGAGCATTTGCTGTCTATCCTGTCTTGTGGCATTTGTACTGTCCTTATAGTGCTCGTGGCTGACACTGCGCCGTGTCCTGCCTACAACATTTTCTTAATTGTCAATGTCTAATGTTCATTTATTCTCTCATACGTGCGTTCCTCATTCTGTTTAATGCAATTCAAAGCGTGTCTTTTTACACACTTTAAGCTTTTCCACTTTCTTTGGCATTCATGGTTTTGATCTATGTCAACAGCAGGTAATGTCCACTTGTCTTTAGGCACATTTGTATGTTGCTTTTCATTATCAAAACACTTCCAATTCATTTGTCTGCATCTTTATCATCATTTTGATCTTGATTCACCTTTAAAAACTGATCTAGATATACATATTCTGCTATTTTCCAGTTGTAACTTGTTTAGCTCATTAACCTTTCACCCAACTTTGCAAACAGTTAAGTTAAATCATTTCCTTTTTAAAATTTACCATTGGTTAATGAATATTAGATGGTTAATACACGAAATTTAAATACCTCAATAGTGTATAATTCCTGAATATCTAAAAAAATACTAATTTGAATACTTGGCCTGTAAACATGTGTGTATGATCTATTTACGAAAATTCGAGAACAGAGTGATGGTTGATTACAATAACGACCACGAGAGTAAAGATATTTTTAGAAAAGGCCTTTGCCGTTGACCACATAGTGCTATCAGATCAGATTCTATCAAAGATATGAATTTGAAAAACCTTTTGTAGACTATAAAAAAGCTTTTGTAGACTATGAAATGGCATTTGGTTCAGCGGAGATTGATAGAGTCTTCCAAACTCTCGCAAACCGAGGCACTGTTAAACCAAATACATTGTCAAAATGCAAAATAGATTTGAGACTAAGATTGCATGAAGTAGCAAAATACAATTAGAAGAAAAGTTTGGCATGCAGGCTATCATAAATGGCAACACTAAAAGTTACCTCTTCAAAGCTGGATTTAAATATATTTGTGCTATATACTGCTGTATAATGTGTTTTGCTCGCAATTTTACTTGTAGGGTCACCGGAGAAGCCGGACAGAAAAAGCAGCACATCTGCCACATAACAGGCTGTAGCAAGGTGTATGGCAAGACGTCGCACCTGCGTGCTCATCTGCGCTGGCACTCGGGCGAACGGCCTTTCGTGTGCACCTGGTTACACTGTGGAAAGCGTTTCACGCGCTCTGATGAACTACAGCGGCACAAGAGGACGCATACAGGTGAGGTGTTGTGTTGCTGAGCTGTTTGGTGTAGCAGAGCGAGCATGGCCACTACCCTATGCTACTTTTGCTTATTCGTTTTTACAAATATAACACGAAAGCAAAAAGTATAGGCGTATCCATTTATAGATACCCCACAATCATGTGGAGGGAAAAAAAAGAAAACATTTAATTTCTGAACCTCCACATGTCTGCCACCAATGTGACTATACAGTAATCTCTATAATCAACTAGTCCCTTCCGAGTGCTGTCCCGCAGGCGGTACACCAACACCACCACACTCGAGGCATTAAGCAGTGACATGGCTTAGCGGTAGCCTATTATTCACTACTTGTTGCAGAGGTTCTTAGCTTGAATCTAATGGCCACCCTGATGAATTATTGCTGCAGGTGTAATAACCGTAACAAGGGCTGTCTGCTGGGAAGTGGAAAAGATCCCCTCATGTCATTCACAATAGTTGGCCATTGTGTGCCAGTGGCAGGGTCTACAATTTGTATTTTTCATAATTACTATATATGTATAATTGGCAACTGGCAGACTAATATTCCAGGTCACTCTTGCAAATGAGAATATCCTGGTCTCCGAGTTCTCACCTGGTTGAAGATATGAAACCTCAAACACGACTCCTTCCTCCCCACGCCACCACTTTTCTCTTCAGGCGAGAAGAAGTTCATCTGCTCTGAGTGCTCGAAGCGCTTCATGCGGAGCGACCACCTGTCCAAGCACATGAAGACTCACTCGGCCAAGCGCGTCGGCATCTCCGGTGACGCCGACTTGGACCCCGAGGCCAAAGGCGACACAGAGGTGGAGGGCGATGACGGCACCCGCCCCACGACCGTCGGCGACATCCTGGCGGCCGCCGGGCTGGTGACGCTCACGACCGTGCCGGCCGAGCTCATGATCGCCACCTCCGTGGCCACCACGCCCGAGTCGAGTCACGACCCCACCAATGGCGGCGGCATGTCGGGCACGGACGGCTGAGTTGGGGCGGGGGGCGGACGGGCGGGCGGGCGGGCGGGCGGGCAGCGCGCGATGCCACGGGGCTGGCGGGGGGCAGGCAGGGGAAGGGGGTTGGCGGGGGGGTCTGCGGAGGCGCGAGGAGCGATTGGGTTCAAACGATAGTCGGTGCTCGCTCGCTGGCAAAATACGTCTTGTCAGTACAGATCGGTATGTGAAAAGATAACGAACATTCCCACGGCAACGCGTCCTGTTCGTGGCGAGTACGCAGCACAAGCTGCCCAGTTTAACCCTACTCCGGTAAAACTAAATCGGTCAATAAATTACACCTTTAGTAGTTCACCTCCGCTGTTTGCGCACAGTAACAATACGTGCAGGTTATGACATTCGGAGACAATGTTCTGAAATACTCTGCAGTGGTTGCGTTACGGTTGGCCTCGGTTGTGTTGTGTGTTTTGGAGATGGGTTATAGCCGGTAAGATGAATTTTGCAGGAGCAGTCCCTCCAATTTCCCAAAACACTTGGTGTGCTTTTCAAACGAGAGTTAACTCTAAATGTCTCTTGCATTCATATAAATTGTTCAGTAATAAGAGCCTCTTGGCAGTTTTGAACCTGAGCGCACATTGGCCCTCCGTAATTCTAGCAGCGACTCCAAAACCCAAGGAAGTTTTGTGCTAAGAAGTTTGTGCTTCCTATGCCGTCTCGCCAGGTGTCAGGGTGTCACTCTCGTGGTCCCCGAACCGGTTGATTTTTGCATTAATATTGTTAGTTTAAGTTCCCTTTGTGTTTTATTTACCTTTTTTAGCATAATTTTGTTAAGTTGCTGTATTTTATTTCATTGGTATCTTTAATCACAAAACCCCCTGTTGCTCTCAAATTGCCCACACTTCCACAGTAGATGTGTAACGAATATTTTTCTGTCTCCGTAGGTTGTCACGACCATATGTGCAGTCCTTTTCACTTGTAGTCGATGCTTTATGACCATTCATATTGGATAAAACAAGCAAAACACGTAATGTCATAAAACTGCTACTTAGTGAGCTTATTCATAAAATAAAAAGTTTAAAAGACGTGTTTTTATGCTCTCACTGAGAGTACAGGAAGATCTTGACATTTCAGTTGACTGGCCTTATTCAGCAAATACTGAGGTTTACAGTCATATTTGTCATTAGTGATGTTTGGTGGTAGGGTGGTATTGGATTATGGATCCCCTGGGCTTCAAAAAGTCGTTATGTTTTGAAAAGTGTCAAATACATTCTAGAAGTAAATATGCAGATTGAAGTGTAATGAGCTCTCATGTTAACAACTTAAAATGACTTGCGTGCGTAGATTTTGGCGCATACCCGCGTCTACACATTTGGCAATTTAAAACAATTGCATTCCACAGCCTCATTCACACGCGTGTAGGATGCACGGATACACTCGCTATGCAGGACTGCTTTTAAAAAAGCATATTCACATTGACAGTCATAAAATACAACAGGTTTAATCAGGTCACATTTTGCCAACTTTTCACATGTCCACACAATGTATAACTAAAGTGTAATTATTTTCTGAATCTGCAAATTTACGTAAAAATGCATTCAAACGGCTTTCAAATTCTGATGACTAAATACACCCCAGTCAGTTGGTTCATTCATCAGCTGACACCCGCCCCCCCACCCAACTTCAACTATCAGGACTATTTAAATTCTGTAAAACTGAGTATTTACCAAAGGACAGTCGACTGAACACCAATAAAAACCTGATACAATTGGACTCGTAAGACGTATAACATTCCGCATCCATGTGCGGAATGCACCGTGCTCTCTCAGCAGGGTATGAATCCGATGCGCTGCGTACATTACTGGCAAAGTAGTGGGTTTGCTTTTTTTTTTACTTTGGTTTTGGTAAATTCCATGGTTCTGTTTATATGTATGTACTGTCAGGCATGGTGTTTGGGTAGGCTTGTTAAGTCCGGGAGCAATCGCGATGGCTCCTCTGCATGTTGTGGGATGTTGGGATTTTCACCCGTCTTACACCATGGCGTGTCGGTTACTGCTCACAAGCTACAGCGCGATAGCCTCTCCTACGTGCATTACCACTCCGGTAGCGAGATCTCCACGTGTAATCTAGCGACTGACATAGCATAATGCGCCATCATCCAGGATTTTAAAATAAAAGCGGCAAAGGTGTAAATTAAGAAATTCCGACTGAAAAGGAAGCCTTAACCAAACGTAACGTAACATTTTAAATGCTGTTCAATAATGGTTATTTTGTAATAATGAAAGTGCGCAAGGCCTTAAAGTATAACTTTATATATCTCCATGAGGATACTCTTGCAGGATACGTAGTGTAGTGTTCCATTAGTTTTAAAATTGATTGGGATGTTGGAATGCTTTTTTTAAATGTCGCTTTATATCAAGTTTGACGGCTCAGTGTATTTTCTATCGAAATAATTGTCGTGACCTGTTTCCCCACTGAGCAAAGTACTAAGCCTGGATGGGACGTTGGGTTTTACACTTGTGCAGCGGCATTTCAAGTAATTGTTTTGGATTTGTAAAGGCTTAAGTCATGATGTTTTAAAACCATTCTCTGTAAATGTGCCCTGTTTTATTAACTCTTCGCATATGTACCTTTACGTATAATGTATGCCCTCTTTTTTTAAGAAAAAAAAAGTTTTTTGTATAAGGTGTGAGCATTTGAAATTCAGAACATTGCTTGTACTTTTAAATTATATACAAGATTCTGTAATTTTATGCTTTTGGGACAATTCAATTTATATTCTGCCAAACAAGGATTATGCAAAAAAAATAATTAGACAAACATACTCCAGCGGTTGTAATTTTGACATTTTATTTTTTCTTTGTTTTGGGGATAAAGACAATTTAATCTTACCTAAAGCAGCCGAAAGGCGGCGTTCATCCTTCTATGCGTCCCATCTCACAGCCGTATGCTGCACCCTGCAGCAGGCTCAGCTACAGCATTTTATTGGAATCCGATTTTTTTATTGATCCCAGAATGGGAATGAATGTACCTCTTGTGTTTATTTGGTTTGACATGGTTTGGGGTGTGTGTGCCAGATGCACTGGAGCTGTTGTTTTGCCAAATAGCAAACTCTGGAAGGACCTTTGCTTGGATGACTTGTGCACAGCACATCACAAGTCGTCCTGGAGCCCATGTTCTTCTGGAAGGGTCCAGATCAGTGTCCTGGGATCGCCACCAGTGCACACACTTTATACCTATCACATGGCCAAATCCGGCCAGGTAGTTCAGAATATTGCCATTTTGTATCCTGGTTGGAGGTTGACTTGGTCCATGATCCATCTGGAGTTGATCAAATAAGTACCACTTTGTGGGGAATTTAACAGTCGATAGATTTTCCCCTGTCATAGAAATATGGAATTCCCACCACCTAAGGGCTGTAAACAGGAGATGAGTACCACCTCAATTTTCATTTGAGCAAGTAATTCTTTTCAGCCAGGCCTCAAGCTCAAAAGAAAAAATACCTCTTGAACCACTACCAAGTTTATCTTCAGCTATATTCCATCACCTCCCCCCTTCATTTCCACTGGCTTTCCATCGTCAGCAGAGTCGGCTACAAGATTGCTGGGCCTTTTCTGGTGGTCAACTCTCTTTCTCCGCGCATGTCGCCCTGCACTACAGCTTGTCAGAGTACGACCCACCGCGCAATTCAACCTCCGCTCTACACCAAGGACCAGGGCCGTTACTGGCGGGCATCATTTCTCTGTGGCAGCTTCCACTTTTGGAACACTGTCTCACTGCACATTAATCCAACCTCCATCTACTTTTAACAGACACTTAAAGGGGGGCCCACCTTTCATCCGGCTTTCGAGTGACATTGAGCTTTGCGCCGTGGCTCGGTCACGTTCATTTGTATGAAATATTTTGCGTGTTATAATTGATTATCAGAAAGCTATAGAAACCAGTGGTGTATGAATTCTGCAAATGCGGAGCTGAAATGGCTGGTTAATGTTGGAAATATAATCAGAAAAGGGAAGTTGAGTTTTAAAACAAATAAAATTACCTCGACTCGCATTACTTTAATCCATGTCAGATGAAGTCGTAGACAATCGGTGGTGTTTGGTAAGAGTTTTTGAAGTAGAGCTGATTTGGCAGGTAAGTGTTTCAGACTTGATCGTAAATATGATTTTGAGATGGATTGGACGCGTGCCAGACAGAGGACATGTTTCCCCGAGATCCATTGAGCCCTCTTGAGGTCAAGGCGACCGACAAGAAAACCTAAACGTGCAAGGCGCCATGGAGCTGCAAGCAGACCCAGCAAGTCTTGACCAGACGGGTGACTTGGGACCAAACCCCTCGGGGAGGTTGGGTGCCGCCTGCAACATTTTCCGGTGGAGGTAGAAACTGGCGGTGAGGATGCGGTGGCAACGGACGCATTGACCCTCGATGACAACCACGGTGTGGGCGGCGGCGGGAGGTGTCTGGAAATGGACGCGATGGGGAGTGGTGGCGATCGGATGGCGAGCGTCTCGCTGCAGTGTCGGGGGTTTTTTTTGTCGCCGTCCAACCATGGCCTTCCCCTTTCGTGAGCCGGTGCCTTACATTGAATGCGAAAAGTCTCCACTGCAGGAGGGACGTTAGCGTTTTATGTAGGTCGTGCCACGTGTAGGTTTGTGGAGCTGCCGAAAGGAGCCTTATGATAATTTCAGCCAAATTCTAATTCTTGCCATTTAACCAAGTGACACCATAAATCATTACCCTGAGATTTTACGAAATGTCATGCCTGCATGCTATTCAGTTCAACAATGGGTACTTTTATCAACATTTTGCCTTACAGTGTCTCTAAAGACTGCAGAGGTGACTAATCATACACCAGCGGGTGGTTCTTGCACAATTAGATGCGTGGGCCATGAACTTAAGAATCTTATGAATCTGTGGCAGTCCACCCATACTCCCCATTAAGATTATTTGAGCAGGAGAAAACTTGCAGTTACAATAAGGACCTTTTTTTACAGCAACGGTCACTTCCACTGAAGATTCCTGCGACGGTATACTCAAAACGTACACACATGCGTACTAATTGTT